ATAATCAGATTTTGGAACCCTTTAAATGGTTCATTGCTGATGACGCCCGAACAATTATGCACACGACAGATAGCAATGTTCGAAGTTTGCGGTTTCATTTGTGTTGATCTTACTGCCATGCGGAAAGCCTGTTCATGCACATCAAAATCCCTTGGCCATGATTTCTATAGATTTGACCGACGTCCTTAATGCTTTTGATCATTTGACTGAAATCTGCCCTCCTTGTGCAGCAAACATCTGCGACCAATTGCTGGGAATACAGGGCTATCACACGATTATGAAGAGCATATGTAGTATTTTGTGTTAGCTTGTAGAATAGGCGAAACCGGGCGGTTGAACGACAGTTTACCTGATACCTGATTTACACGACGAAAATTGAAGAGTAAGGTACTTACTTTACTGCGATACTGCGGTTGTGTAAGACGAGTGGTCGTCATTATACCAGGTTGTACCGCATTAACGTATGGTTCCTAGTTCCCATCCTTCTAATAGCCTAGGGCATTCTAGATGGTAGAAGCGAGGGTTTGCTACGTTACTGTGGTGCAGCCTGGTGTAACGACTACAATCCTTTTTACATTATCGCAGTGCTGCTGTTAAGTAAATACTGTCGATTTTCGATTTAACTTACCCTTATCAAACGGATTTCGGGTTTAATCGACTAAAATTAAAATTTACTTATTAGTTTCAATGCATTCCTCGTAGTTCCCTGACTGTTGCGTTTGTACTTCTTATGTACTATATCCGATTTCCAGTACTATGTTCATAACACCTACATTGTCACATACCAACCAAACAGTTTTAAATGTTGTAAGATTCGCATACATATTACATTGGAATAGGATCATTGCTTATTATCCATTATTCAGCTTTTTCTCAGAATACACAGATCACGTTTGATGGAATGTATTGTTTAAATGGCGTATTTTTTGGCGAAATCATTGGCAGTAGTCAAGTTTTTAACGAATTTAGATTCTCACTTTTTAGAGACTTGGCTTTTTATTTTCACCTTCTTCATAAAATTAGTGATTTCTTCAGGTATAATATATACGTATTTCAGGAAGATATAGCCTTATACAGAGTCAGTTACAGAATATTTACAGAGCCTCGTAATTTAAGCTTGAATTAATTTGTATGTCTACATATATTTATGTATTGCATTTACTCTAACAAATAATAGATGCAGAATTTGTGGGAAATTTGTCTTGGGCCTAAAAAACGTTTGCGCTGTGCTTCAAAATATATAATTTGTTATTTAAGGAACATGGTTTCATGTACGCTACATTACGAATGATTTGATTTTACGGTCCCTTCCCCCAAATGGTCGTAAAATCAAGGATACATTATGATTTTTCTTAATTTTTGCCGTTAGACTCTAATATCAGTAGTTTAAGCTGCCATTCTTGGTAGCTGCCCCAAAACACCAGGGTTATCTTGTTTTAAAGCTTATTTTACTGCCAACATTTTTTGACCAATTGGCCTCCTTGTTTACCCCTTAAACATTTCATCAAAGTCAATGATATACACTAATTGCATTGTTATAATATAAACTGATGATTTACATGTCAAAATCTGAGCATACATGCTTATAGTGTATCAACTTATATGCCATAGAGTTGTGACGCCTGCTTAGCGATCCTTTAGGTTACTAGAAGCAAGGGTACGGTGCAGGTGCGCCGTGTCCGGATAAGTGGCAGGATGTTGCTTTTCTTACCGTCGGTTCGAAAATTGCAGTTTCCTAGCAAACCCATTTAACCGGGGTGAATTTTTAGTTCGTACTTGTATTTGTGTAATTTGTATATTGTACAATTTCACGGCATCCTAATAACCTGTTGCTTTGGATCATGAATCAGTGACAAAGTATAAATCTGTTTAAACTGAACTACCTTTGTAAATATATTAAATCTAATTTTACCCATTTTTTGGGTCATCGCTCCCGTCTTTCCCATTAATATCATAAGGAATTTCCTTAGTGTATAGTACATGGTGTGTAGCATCTGCTTAGTTTCGAACCGTAAAGCGAGGTTTTGGCTTATGTTGTGTTAGTAGCTATTTTGCGACGAGCTTTACGAGTTTGATCGTGCAGGCTTTATATTGTTTGTCGAAAGATTTTCTCTGTGAAAGGGGGTTTTTTCCTTGTATGGTATATTCTACGTTTCTCATTACTCCGGTAAATATATTTATCGTCTTTTTCGTTTGCTCAAAATTTCTGCAGAACATGGTTCTCTATTGTTCTTGGATCTGAGCGGCAAAGTTCACACAGAATAGCACCAACCGTTACTCTCTTAAAGATCTGCAATATAGATTGGCTTGACTGTGCTGCTAATATTGTAGTACTAAGCCGTTCG